TGGCCTTTCCAGGGGGAGAGAGAGAGAGTGAGAAAGAGAAGCAGGAAACGCGCCGTTCCTGCCAGCCATTCCCCGCGTATTCCTCTTCCCTCTCTCTCTCTCTCTCTCTCTCTCTCTCTCTCTCTCTCTCCGGCCCCCCACCCGATCCCAGGCACGCCAGCCAGCAAGAATCGCTTTTGCCTGCAGAATTTGACGCTGGAAAATGTTTCGAAATTACGTAGAGAACGTCAATTTTAAGGCTAGCGAACGAAATACCCTATTCGACACAGCAAAACCCAAAGAACAAATCGGTACTGGAGCGTTAGTGGGGGGGGACCGCGTTTTTGTTTTTTCCACCTACTTTTAATAATAAATAACGTGTTTTTATTAAGTCTTTAATAGTTTGTAATTATTAGGAAGCTAAAACAAGCATTCTCATGATTTTTCAAAAAAAAAACTGAAAACCTTGAGCTTTTTTAGGTCATGCTTCATACATTATTGTCCAAAAACTCAAAACCCTGCAAAATTTTTCGAAGTTTTTTATGAGTTTCATCTAAACACAATGTGAATGCTGTAAAAATTATTTTTATTTTGGCATATAGCCGTAAAAAATAAAACTCATCCTGCTTACAAGGAGATTTTTTAGCGTCTCCAGGCGCGCTTCGGAATGTGATCAAGCCTATTTTGTGCAGAATTTTTCGCTGATTAAAATCGAGTTTTCGGAATCGGCGAAGCGACCAAAATAGGAAGGTTCTGAAGCTTTAAATGGGGGGGAAAATGGCCAAAATTGGCATTTTTGCGCATTCTTCATGCTTTAAAGCGGCTCTCGCAGCTCACTGATTACGGCATTTGGGGGGCGGGCAGAGACGCAGAGTTCTGTCTGCGTCTCTCCTCTGGGCGCACTCTTTCTCTCCCTGCCGCGACGCACCGACCGCGACGCTTCCACGAATCGTGGAAAAAGGGGTCTGCTGCGAGAAGCCCTTTAAACCCGCGTAATTTTCCAAATCTGGCCGTTAGCGGCTTCCGAAAAGTGTGTTTTCAACAAAAATTCTGCACAAGTTAGGCTCGGTCCCGTATGGAAACTCGATTGTTACTATTACGTTGGACCGATAGTTCGTGCCATATTTTTCAGTATTTTATATTTTCGTTCCGGAAAACGGTTCAGGTAAAAAATGTTTTAGTGATTGGCATATGCACCATCAAATTCTCTATTCGAGTCCTGGGGCAAAATTACAATCCATTTCCCTTAGAATTTTTTTCCGTTCGATTTACAAGAAAATCGAAAAAGTTTGCGGCCCCCAGTTTTCAAAACAGTTCCGATTGATCTTTTTGCATATTTCTGCATCGCAATAGTAGCTAAAAAGTATTATCTTGCTGGTGGTTCATTCTTATGGTAAAGTTATGGTGATCCTGAAAGATGTCCGCGTCAAAAATTCGAGACACCTCCTAGAGAAACGCAAAAATAATAAAAACTACTGCGGCTAAAATCTTGTAAATGTTGTTTACTTGCGCCAAAAATTGTCAGAAAATTTTTTTACAAAATTTTGAAAGTTGAAAAGATTAAGCCGCTATGCATCAATGTACCAGGAGTCAAAAACTCAAACATTTCTGTTTTCCGCTATTTTTTTTCGACCGAAGCGTACTGTAGGCTTATTCTCCAGAGCAAGAGCTACATTTTGGTACCATTGACAGCTCTGTACGACTAAAGATAGCCGAGATACGAAAACTCACTTTGGAACAGCAAAAATTAACTAAAGAAAACCCAGACTTATAATTCTTATAAAAAAATTTTTAACAATTTTTGGCGCAAGTAAACAACTTTTCCAGAGATTTTCGACCACGGCGAACATGTTGAGATACTCGGCGCATTAATAGGACGTATGGCTGAGGAGCTGGGCTGGGGGGGGTAAACTGCACTCTAACCCTATTAAACTCCGCGAGTATGAAGGAAAACAGTGATATCGGCCCACGAAACCTTTAGAAAGAAATTTTCGACGTTCGACTGTACGAACTTATGGTCCAACCTAATAAAAACGTCTCTCTGTGATTTCCTTATTGTCGCCGACAGCTAGGGGGCAACAGGGCGACAAACGCATAGAGACAACGAAAAAACAAGGCGAACCAGGAAAAACCCAGAAAGAAACAAGCGTTCGTGGCCCGTTCGTTTCCCATTCCGGCTGCCAGGGCCTGGGATAGCATTCAGCTGGCAGCTGTGTCTAGTCTCGACTCGCCCCCTTCTACCGCTCTTCCCCCCTCGGCCAAGCGCCACCAAACGCGAAAAGCGGCCCGCCAAAAAATGCGAACGCCACTCCCGCTTGCCCGGACCCGGGCCATATTGGCATCTGGGGCCCCTGAGCGGGGGCAGGGAAATGTTGCGGGTGAATTTCGGTTCTTTTGCATTAACGGGGGACCAACTTTTTCTAAGCACTCAATTTTTTGTAAAATACCAAGTAAAAATATGTCCCAACTGTTTTTACTATCCCTGAACGTAAAAACGTTACAAATTTGGATTAAGAAATGCAAAAAAAATAGATTTTCCGACCGAAAATTCCCGTTTTTGACCAAAATTTCGACTTTTGCACATTTTTTAAAGCTTTTAGTTAATTCTTCTGGTTAAAATATGGTTCTATTTTGCTAGAAACACCATTAAAACACTAACTGCTGCGTTGATACAGGGATTTCTTGGCCTGCACGAAAAAGTTGTCAAACGCTTTCAGCCCCAAAAAATTGAATTCGCGACCAAATTTCCACTTTTTCCACTTTTTCAAGCACTCCTCGAACTTTTTAAAAGTTTTCCACTGAAATCTGGAAACTGACCAAAAACAATATACAAACAGTCTATTATGGATCCCTAATACCAACGCGGACCGCCAGGATAGCGTTTCCTGCTGTTCTATTTCTTGCAATAGGTTAGGGTATTTCTAGGTCAGCTGGGCTTAAAACTTAAAAATTTTTGAAAACCCACTTTCAAACCAAAATTTGAAAAAATCATGTTATGAAGCTCAAAGAATGGATTTTTGGAGCGTTTTCGTCGACCTTTTCCGTTTTCGCGCGTGATTCAGAATTTTTTGAAAGGGTTCGGGATTGAAAATGTTTTTAACATATGTTTCGTACCTATAAAAAAAGCTAGTCCTAGCTCTTCGATAGGAGCATCCTAAAAACCCGAGTATAGTTCTTGTACAACTTGGGAACGTAGGGATACAAATGACAGTCTAATAATGTGCGTCGCCTTCCGCTCGCCGCAAAAGCTATGTAAGACAAAAGACGCTGTTGTTAGGGTTTCCTGCATCAATTGCTTTCATTAAACCACTTAAAATGCTGGAAATAGCTGAAAGCTGAGCGAATATTCAAGCGAAGTTGCAAAAATACCTTCCGTGCACGAAGTTTTGCAAGAAACCGAAAAAACGAAACACACCAATTTACTGTCATGCGGAATTACGGATGGTCCGGAATTTCACCCGAATTAGTCGGGAGACTATACTCGGGATTTTAGGGTATTTTATCAATGTCTTTACGCATGTTAATCTTTTTTCTGCCTATAGAAACTGCCCTTGCTAATGCTTATTTTTCCAGATACGATGCCCGCCAAACGCAGGGCACCGGTACGAAGCGTGAAGCCGACAAAGCTGCCAAAAAGAGCCCAGCCGATCCCAGTGCACAAGTTACCGCCCAACATCTTCAACACGATCGTCGGATTGCTGGATTCGCCATCCCTTCTACAACTCGCCAAATCGCACGCGCAAATCAAGAAGCTTGTGCGTGAGTCGGAGAAGCACTGGAAGGAGGTGCACGCCTACGCGGATTCCTACTTCATCGACTACAATTTCTACGACCTCGACGATGCCCAAATATTGCTAGCCAACTCAAAGATCGAACATTTTGGCCGGGACGCTGGCGTGCCGGACGCTCGCGGATTGATCGATTTGCCGAATGAATTGATTGATCTGGTTGTCGCACCACTCGATGCCGTCAGTATCTTGGAGCTGGCTGCCGTGCACCAACGTCTCACAGGACTGCGTCAGCGCGTGAAAATCGATCGTTTGCTGCACAAGCGCGGAAGGTTCAGTGTGCACGACGACAGTTATGAGCCTGTCTGGCATCTAATGGACGATAGCCCTGATGATCGTGGCGTTCCCATCAAAAACCCGTCGGTGCTGGATGGCCTGCACGTGCGGAATGTCATCTACCAGTGCCATGACCGTCTGAAAAGAAGCCCGCCATTGAAAGTGAAGCCAACTTTCACCTGCCAAAATTTCTTCTACGGCATGGCCCAATATCGCCCGACACGCTACGGCGATGCGGTCTACATTGATAAGGAGATCGTCCAGGATATCCTCAAGCCGGTCAACGTCTACTCGCAGACTTTTATGGAATTCATGGTCGGCAACAATTTTCCGGAAGGTGTCCTTATGATTGGTATTGTCCAGCGAGAAGACCTAAATGATCTGAAACGGGTGTACGCGCCAAGGATGATGTTTGGCACCCGGAATACCGGCAAGCCGTTTTTGAGGCTGCTCTACTACTACATTGACGAGTGGATGGCCGGAAAGCGGGAGATCGAGGCATTATGTGTTGCATATGAAAAGAAAGTCGAAGCTGAGGACTCGGATTCTGACGGCCTGCTTGACATGGGAGACCATGTCTTGCCGCCGTTGGTCAAAAGGCACGACTTGGCAAAGGGAGCTGACGGCAGCTTTCACGGGCAATTGAAACGCGATGATGGGAAGGTGCTGGAGGTGGAAGCGAATGAGGAAAAAATTTCATTTTTGGCCGCCGGGGTGTCGTTCGATTCCCTTCCAGCATTTTCTAAATTGGCGAGCCGGCTGTTTAAATAAGCTTCTTTCACCTTGTTATTGTTGTAATCTGCTTGATAAATACTTGTTACGCGTTAGATTTCTCATACAAATCGCATTCTTCAAGTGACCATTTATTGACGTACATAGACTTTAAATTCAATAGAACACATAGATAAAGACGCTTAATATGGACGGCGGTTAGTAGGGACGAGGCGGCGGCGTCTACTCCATGACTTCGGCCAGCTCGTCGAGAAACTTCTTTTGCGTCGGCTTGTGGGTGATGTTGCGCGTCTAAATTAAAATTAGGTTAGAAAAGTTTGAATTGAAAAACGCACGAGAATAAATTCGAGGACGGAGCTGTAGATGTAGAGGTACTGGGCAGTGTTTTGGACGCAAGACGGCCGGCAGTTGCGCAAATCTTTGAAGATTTCGACAATCTGAAACAAAGGGTATCTGTTCGTCAAAAAGAAGCGACGTACCGACACCTCCCTGCCCTTCAACAGCTTCTGGATTGCCATCTCGATGGCGATGTACGTGCCAGTGCGACCGACGCCCGCCGAGCAATGGACCACCACAGTTCCCGTGCCGGCTTCCTGAATAGAAAAGGTTTTGGAAGGTTATTTTTGCAATTTTGTAAATCAGCCAACTCAAAGGAGCTGCTGTTAGGTGTTTTTGGGTTTTGCCATGTGGCATAGCTTGCAATTCTCAACAATCCCATCTTTCAAAAATTGCGGAATGACCACTGTCTTCGAAAAAATTCGCTCTGAAAGGGCCGATCTCGTTCATTTATCCCGCGCTAAACAAAATATCAACGCTGAGAAGGGTTCTCTGGAAGGCCGTAACCGAAAACCTGTTTTTGAAAAGTGGTATCGTTCAAAAATTCAATCTATCGAATTGGCTATGTCACATCGAAAAAGACAAAACACACCTAAAAACCACTCCGTTTTGTTTTCACTGTTTTCTAAATCAAATTACCAATTCGAATCACTAAGATCTTTATTTATAGTACGTTAAAAATCACCCTGGTGAGCCGGCGCAGCTTTAGCGGGATCCCGCCCTTCGACGGCATTCCCTTGTCGGGCCATTCGGTGCAGAAGATCAGCTTGGTGATGATGGAATTCGAGCAGCCGTCGGGCAACACTTCCAGCGTGTGCACGATGTCGTCGACCTTCTTGTTGTTGACGAACATCTTGCCGTAGTTCTTGAAGTCACCGGCCTTCGCCGGGAAATATTCGGCACATTTCTGAGTTCCCTCTTCGACATAGTCGCATACCGAGATGATGGCCGCCACGTTTTCCTGGAAATGAAATTTGAAAGTCAGTTGAAAATTAAATGGAGTTTGTAGTTTTGTTTGTTATATGAAAGGTAACAAATGGCGGAAGCTAAAAAGATAAGGCGGCAGATACACTCCAGCCGAACCCCAACTTTTGTATCTCGGCTCCGCATTGGCGAACAGGTGTGTAAAGTGTACCAAAATGCTCGTCTTTGTCTGGCGCGTCTTTTGGTATACCTTACAGCCCTATAACGCAACACAGAGTCGAGATACTATAGGAAACTACCGTAAGAAACGTACCTGAAATACCATCCGCCAAAAATCTTCGATGGTGTTATCTTTCGGGCCCTGGGTAGCGATGAATTTGCGCTCCATGTCTGGAAAACGCCAATCTGCACTGAGGAATAAAACATACAATCATAGGAAATCCAGTTGGCGTGGATGTAGTCGCCGTCGGCCGCTGTGTAGTTCCCGAAATCAGTGTTCAGCACAACGCGGGTCGCATCAAGGCAGTGAATATCCTAGATCGAATAAAAAAAAGAAAGGAAAAGTAAACTACCCCGTATCTATTCTTGTCGGCATTCTTTTTACATTCGTCGCGTTTGTCATTTTTCGTGCAGTACGTCTTCAGCGTATCGAATTCACCGAGAATCTGCTCGGCCGACGTCGTATTGAGGAAGTTGCAGAACTTGGCGGCGACCGCGTCCTGTTCGGGGGTGAACTTGGCGACGTTCGTCTTCTTTGCATGCGCTGCTTTTGCTTTGTTGTCCTTCGACAGGGCGCCGGCGGCCGTCGCGCCGCTTGCCTGAATTAGATATTATATATTTGTAACCGACAAACACGACGATACCTTGCCCTTTGAGGCGCTTTGCCTTTGCGTGCCCTCCTCGGTCAGCTTGTCATCCTCCTTGGTGCTTGTGCTCGCCTTGCCTCGGGGAACCGCCGGTTGCTTCACTGAAAGAAAGGGAAATTTCTTGGTGGCTAAAAAGCCGGCTTAGGTGCATTTTGGACATATTGTTTGCTGCCCGTGTGTCTACAGGAGTGCAAAGTATACCAAAATGATCAGCAAACGAAGAGGAACATTTTGATATGCTGTACCCCTTCGCTAGGAGAGAGATCAGGCATATATACAAAAATTGGGGGCGCTTTCATAGACTTTGAAAAAAGCTTTTGGTTTCGAGAGCTAAATTAGGGTATCCCAGAAATGTGCCGAACCTTTTTTGCTTTTGTAGCTCTTCGTGCTCTTCGTCGGGTCCGCTTCCTCACGGGGAGCGTGTTTCGCCCGAAACTTCCTGGCGGCTGCTTCGGTCATCTTCGGGCGGCGGAGGAAGACGAAGAAAAAGGAAACGCAGCAGGCGTAGAGTTGAGCGGCTCAGCAACCCGCTCTTGATGTAGTTGACGGCCCATGCAGATGTACATCGACATCCTGAAAACGAATAGATTGGATTCAAATTATTCTCCTGTTAATGCAGGGGAAACAGAAATCTTAAAGCGCACGTTCGGATATCCGCCGAGTAGATCCTATTTACGCAGAGAGACGTAGACGTAAATAGGCGCTCACGCAGCATTATAGCGCCGATCCTGAACGCACGCTTTACAGAGCACGGCAAATCCAACCGGACAAAAACCGCATTTAGCGAGAAGGCGGCTATGACTGATGCGCAAACGATGTCTGAGCAAAGGAGGAAAAGCGACGTTTGAGCAACAACCATTCCTTAAAAAAAGGCGGGAAAACCGTGTTGCTCAAAGGTGTTGCTCCTCTGTCATGATCCGTGCGAGGGGCGAAAGTGCCCATTGATTCTGGCGCAGTTTTTCGCTCTGATCACGAATAACCACCTAATCCAAGCCTTAAAGGGATACCCAACCTTTTCGGGGCTCAAAAAGCAAAAACCATGACGCGGGCGGGGGTCGAACCCGGGACGGGAGCTGAGTGTGACACCGCGCCAGCTGCAGGATTTCTATTGCGCGCCCCAGTGACCGTATCCCCCACCCCGTTCCCCCAGGGCCCGCTCGCCTTTTCGACCAACTTTTCCGTTACAAAACCGAAAGCAAAGAATGTATGAGTAACAAAGAATCAAACAAAGTGAAAAGTTAATAGTATTTACTAAAAAAAAAACGCTTTTTGTATAAAGTAATGTTAGGGCGTCCCCATAGGCTTTTATTCATGAGGTTCTTGAGATGGATGTCTTTGCTTCTGACCGAGCAAACTCTTGTAACGGTCTTATTGTTGTATTTTCTTTTACCTCTTCATGCATTGAGCAATATATACATGCATTATACAATTAATAGGTGTGTAATGTAGGTAGGGGCATCTCGGATATATAGAAGTTTGTGGGAAAGCCTTGATTTTGGGTCCTAGGTTTACGCCAGGCTTACTCAACGGCTAGAAACGTTCTAAGGGAGTAGCTACCATAATGTAGACCGTAATCATAAATTATGCCTCAGCTTTACTAAAGTCGACCCTGCTTAAGGTTAGGTTCCACCTACGCTTCTCATCGTGAGCAAAAGCCTTTGACTAGACATCGACATTCTGGCAAATGTTGTGCGTATACCGCTGCACTTATAACTTTTAAATTTAAACGCTCCGCTCCACTGCGAATTCGGATACAGCTATCCATGAAGCAGGCGGAAAGCACAAAATCTCTTCGGCACGCGACTCCGGGATGACGACGACCTGCAGCTTCACAAAATGACGACGCCACTTGATCACAACATTCGCACGGCTCATTGCTAGATGGCTATAATTTGCTATCGCTGCAACGTGCTGATACATTGTTGGAGACTGATTCCTCCTATCGGTGATTTGATAACGGAGTCTGGAAGATCATGAATAACGCTTTCGAAAGTAGGAGCACAGCTCAGATTTAAAATTCTTGGAAACAGAAAAATGGTTTTAGCTTGCTAAGTTGAAAATACTAGGTGATTATCTAACGTTGGAGACGATTGCTTGCGAACATAAAATAAAAAGGCGTGACTGCTTGATCCGCATTAGCTGCTATTCATTCTACGTCTTAGTTGGTGTATGATTTCTTTTTTTTTTTAATAAAAACTATTAACTTTTCACTTTGTCTCCTTTTTTCTTACTTCTACATTCGTTGCTTTCGGTTTTGTAACGGAAAAGTTGGTCGAAAAGGCGAGAGGGCCCTGGGGGAACGGGGTGGGGGATACGGTCACTGGGGCGCGCAATAGAAATCCTGCAGCTGGCGCGGTGTCACACTCAGCTCCCGTGAACCCGGGACCCCCCGCTTTCAAGACCTGGATGCTATCCATTAGGCCATAGTGGCAAGCCATTGGTCGAGATGGGGACGCCACAAGAGGGTGAGGAGGCCGAATTCTGTGCGGCACTGGGCATCCATTACCGCACAAAATTCGTGCGTCATTTGTACTCCCCGGAATACATAACTATATATTTGCCGCCAAAACATTGGGTATCCCTTTAAAACTTTATTTTGTATTACAAAAATCAATTTCAACGTTGCAATTTGAAAGAGTGAAAAGTACGCCGCGCTCCAGATGGCGTTTTGCGTCCATAGGGGGCGGTTCGTTGCTTAGGCGCTAGATATTTTTTCAAAAAATAAGAAGGACAGTAAAAAAATAAATAATTTTTGCTTTTGAACGTAACAACGGTAGCGATATCGAGGGCCTGCACGTGAGTGTTTATTCAGATGCTGATGATGATGATGAGGAGAGAGAGAGGGATGGACCACAGAGAGGGATATAGGCAGGGGACAACTACAGGAGACGTGCTTGGTGTTTTTCATTTCATCGTACACAGTACGGGACGGGAGGGGGGAAGGGGATGAGAGGGAAGAAAAGAAAAGGAATGGCGATACAGGGCGGGGGTTCAACATCATCATCATCATCATCACACCTCAGATGCGCATATCGAAAGGAATGAGGCGAGGGGGGAAGGGGTCGAGTAGGTTGTGGCGTGGTGTTCCTTCGTCAACACGTCGTCCACACATCTTCTCACTCGTACGCGTATGCAGAGGGTTTCGTGGCGGGACCCGATGATGAGGCGAGGCCGCCGAGGGCGCGCATCGGCGAAGTCTGCGGGGCCATCTGAACGGGGAGGGAAATCTGGCCGTCTACGATCCGATGGGGGGCCCCATTTCGGGTACTGGACTGTTAGTCGGGGGACCAAATTTTTCCCAGTAATCCCGGACGCCCCTATAACGAAATATAACTCATTCTATAGCACAATGTCACCTAGCTGTAGACATAAAAACCACATAAAACTGATAAAATTTTCGAAATTGAGTTTTGATCTTTTTGATTTTCGATAATTTCGAAATTCTCCGAACCTTTGGAATTGTTTTTAACATTTTGTACAACATTTTCGCAATCAAAAACTACTAAAAAAACGTGTTGTTGGGGTAGTCAACATACCTTCGAGATGCCAACATAGCTGGGCGGAAGCTGGACAACGGCCTCGTTTGGCTTCAGGCTCGGCTGCAACAGACAGGATTAGGTTCTTTCGCATTATCGGGGGGGGAGGGGGGGGGGGAAGGGGGGCGGGGAGAAACTTTTTCCTAGGAACGCGTTTTTGAAATACAAATAGAGGCAGTGTTTCTAGACTGTTTATCCTATTCATAAAGGCAAATTTTATAAATTTTTTAAAAGATACGAAACATCTAGATTTTTGGGCAAAAATGACGGTTTTTGACCAAAATTTTTTCATTTTAGATAGTTTTTCTAGTTTAAATTAGTTTTATTTTTATAAGAAAACATTCTATTAAGTTACCAGGCATATCTAGACTTATGCAAAAAAATTATCGCCCCCCCCCCCCCCGATAATGCGAAAGAACCCATCAATGGAAAAGAGCCAGTTCGAATCATTCTACCCTGGGCGCCGGGGTGTGCACATCAGCGGTGAGGGGAGCAGCAGCGGCTTGGTTGGGGCGCGGGGTACGGGGGCCCTTCGGCGGCACGATGGCGGTCACCTGAAAACATTGAGAAAACGCTTAAAGTACGTCGTGCTCCCCACAAAGACGGCGCTCGTCCGCTCCTTACGCACGCACACCGACCCGTCATCCTGGTTCTGCACCTCGTGCGTCGTCGTCTCGGTGCGCGTCTGAAAAGTAGCCATTTCACGGCGGACAACGGTAAAGGATTACAATCTTCATTCGTTAGCTTTAAAAGTTTTTCTAATTTCGGCTAAAAGCAATATTTTCCAAAACTTTCCAAGTAATAGCAGTTGACGAAACTTTGCTCAAAGTGTTCTCCAGGGTTTTGTTCGGTTCTTTCGCATTATCGGGGGCCCTAACTTTTTTTGTATAAATCTAGAAATGCCAGGCAAGTTAAAAGAAAGTATTTTAATAGTGTTTTTAGTAATCTATCACTATATTTAAACTAGAAAAACTATGGAAAAACTTTTTTAAAATGTAGAAAAATTCGAAATTTTGGGCAAAAATCCGCCTTTTCTAGTCGAAAAATCGATATTTTTGAATCAAAATTTGTAAAATTTTACGTTTAGAGAAACTAAAAACCATTTACAACATCTTCCCAATTTATATTTGAAAAATAAGGTGCTAAAAAGTTGGTTCCCCCTTCCCCTCCCCCCCCCCCCGATATTGCCGATTTTTTCATTCGTAAAGTTTTGGATAAAAAGTTCAAAATCCTCTTTTCGATTAGAATATAAACAAGCCGGATTTAAACTATTCTATTTTTTAAAAAGTGCTGAATGCACAGAATACGGACATGACGACTGCCGATGTCTCCCTTGTGGGCGGCCTCCATCTGGCGTTTGATCGGATTCTTCATGTCGAGGATCGACGAGCTCTGCCGGGGAAAGCGGGCCGACCTCGTGCTGCTCTAAATTCAAATATAATCAACTCAAAATCTTCAAAATTACCTTATTCGAGCGGGTGGCTTTGGGTGTTTTGGCCGAGACCTGTTCCTGGGGGACGATCAGTGGCGGCGGCGGGCCACGCTTTACCACGCGGATGGCGCTGGAAAATGGCGTTTAGAAGCCGTGCAACATCTGAATCATGATGTTGAAATGGTTAGAACCTCGGGTCATCTTCCGGCAGGCCCTGGTGACGGCGGCGGACACGACTCAGCATCATACGGCCTGAAAAACGGTGATATTCGTCTCCGCGCCAATCTTTCCCTCACCCTCCCTGCTGTCACCAAGATGGGTCAGGCTGCCAAAGTACAGGACGGTACCAAACTGAAAAAAAGGTTGTGGAAATTATATTTTCAAAATATTAGGCAAAAAGAAAGGGTTTTTGTATTAACGCGGCAGGGCAAACCATTTTTCTAAGCACCGAATTTTTCGTATAAAAAAGGTTCCCAAATCCTAAATCCTAATCCTATTGCCAAACGGCTACCGCTTTTTTTGACCTAATAAGGCCGGTTTTTGTCCAAATTTTAACGAAAAAATTTTGCCGAAGCTTTTCCACTTGAAATTATCGTAAATTTCTCGTAATCTCTTACCAGACACAGGAAAACAGCCAATTTGTGGCCCAGGAACGACCACAGGTGGAAGAACAGCACGGCGGATTGGCGCAAGTCAGCCTAAGCGGAAAAAACCGTTAAAAATTTATCCAAACATAAAATACCCGCTCCGGAGACGACGTGCGCCACTGGAAAAGGGCGGCCTCGCCACATTGGTCCCTGAAAATCGTCAAGGAGCACCTTTTTCTGGCTGGTTATATTTTGAAAACGGGGTAACTAAAGCATTTTGCCCGTTTTTGGCATGCCGATCAGGAGTCGAGGAAGACGGTGGCCGTACCAATCAATTCCATCGCAGAATCCACGCCCGTTGTACTCGACGATGGCCAGCCAGATGGACCGGATTGTCCAGATCACGTGAGCCGCCATCAGCAGCACGAAAATTACTGAAAACGCGGATTTTTTCGGTGCATCAGCAATATCGGGGGTGGGTTTATGGGCAAACAAAGTTTTTTGCATTAATCCAGAAATGCCGAATCATTTCACAAGAAGTATTTTAATGTTTTTTGGTAAAATAAGACTATCCTTTAGCTGGAAAAACTATCTAAAAGCCTTGAAAAAATGTATTAAAAATCGAAATTTTTGTCAAAAACGGACATTTTATTAATGCAAATGCGAAGTTTTAACGTTTAGGAATAGAAAAAAAACACTTTCTAGAAACACTTCCTCCATTTAACTGCCTCCCCCCCCCCGATAATGCGAAAGAATCCGAAATTTTCCTTTACCCCACGTGCGCAACAGAAATAATCGTAACCGTACTGTAGTGGGGCCAAAGGACGAGGGCGAGCGTGATGACGGTCACCATGCAGACGAAGATGGTGTGGATCAGGAATGGGAAACTGCAAAAATGGTCACTTTTCGCCGCCTTCTTCCAGTCACATACTGCTGAATGGCAATGTCGTCGTAGATGCTGGACAGCCACGCCCAATATCCCGCATACGTCATCATCGCCAGCTGGCCGAAGAGCAGCACCAGCGTCAGCGCCATCAGGATCCCGTCGTACAGCTTCCCCTGGCTGTACATCTTGCTAAAAAGAGAAACATTAATGAGGTAAGCCGCGCTAAATCGTACTCCTCCTGCTTGATCTTGGCCTCGTAGGCCTTGCGCAGCTTCTGGCGCAGCACATTCCGCCTGCGCAACAGCGGATCCGCACGGCCACTGCTGAAAAGGAAAATTGGTTAGTGGGCTGCTAAAAAGACGGGTGTTTAGGAAACTGGCCATAAGCAAATTTCGCACGATTCGCAGGCTTGTTTTTATAAAGACACTCGCTGACGATATCTAAAGTTTGTTTCTATTTCTATAGCAGAACAGGCGCGCGAACCGTGACAAAATTTGCCAACAGCCTAGCAAGCTTTTCCCACCGAGAAGCCGACGAGCGCGAGCCGCTGCGCTGCGACGAGCGGGAACGGCTGAAAAACGACAAAATTGTCCGCAGAAAAAGGTGTACAACCTCGACGCGGCTTTGCCACGAGCTTTGGAACGGGCGGCGGGCCGCGAACGGCCGGAGCGACTAAAAAAAGTGAGTTATTATTGGGCCCAGGAGTGAAAGCCGGAACTTGCACTAAAGTTTGGCAGCTTTCCGATGAATGACAGGCTGTAATTTACAGCTGACCCCCAGCCGACACCGACCTAATGTATCTCGGCTACCCTCCGTCCTACATGGCTGTTAGATATACGAAAATACTCGCGAGATAAAGACGAAAATTTTGGTATACTTTACAGAGACATCGGCCAATGGGGTGACAAGATACAAAAGCTGCCGGGCCAGCTGTGGGAGATCATCGGGAATTTCACCCCCTTTCACCGGTGTGATATCCTTTTCAACGGCTAGAAAGCAGACCTCGACTTGGCCGAGCGCGTGGCCGAGCGCGGGTTGCGGCGCGGGGCCGACGAGCGGGTTTTCGATCCGCGCGAGGCGCTGCGGGACCTTGAAATATCAGAATCAATCGTGAAGATAGGATGAACCTCTTGCTGGCCTTGCGTCCCTTCTTGCTGGAGCGGCGGTGACGGCTGCGGCGCCTATAAATTGCAATTTGTAATAAAGTAATGAAATACAGGAAGATTTGGTTCTTTCGCATTACCGGGGGGGGGGGGGGGGGGAGGGGGTGTTCACTTTTTTGCGTCTAGAAATGTCTAGTAGCTTCCTAAGAAGAATAAATTTCTTCTTTTTTATTACCTTTGCAAAGTTGTCGCGTTTAGGAGCGGTAAAACAGTTTAGAAACCCTACCACCGTTTTTATTTGCCAATTGGATCCAGCGAAAAAAAGTTGGTCCCCCCGTTAATGCGAAAGCCCCGAAAAATTCAAGTACCTTACCGAAGCGCGCTAGCGACAGAAGCGGGCATCTCGGCCGAGACGAGGCGAGAACGATCGTTGAAGTCAAATGCCCAATTTTCACGCAAGAACTTTCCACAGACATTTATTGAACATTTTTCATGCAGAATTCACATTCGGAATCAAATTATTTCATCGATGCAACGCTTTTATTCACAGAAAAGTTGTCAACTTGAAAAACCCAATCGATCAGATGCAATGTATATGTACAAGGATTAATATTTCTTTCCGGCCGGGTATTTGTTTGGAAGGGTGCGACGACGGGCGGCGATTCGTCCGGCCTCGGCCGAGTGAAGGGGCAATGGCAGCTCGCCCATTCCGGACGCCGTCTCACAGCGCTCGTTGCCGCGAGGCGGCTTGCGAACCTGGAAAACGCACACTACAACAACAAACAAGGTGAAAATGCGGCGGGGAGGAAACGATGATCATTTTCGGTCATAAGCCCACTCTTTAGTATGCCATCCAAACGCTATACAGAATCTACAATTGTCAAGCGCTTCCTTGCCATTTTTGAGCATCAAAAGCTTCCGCAATAAAGCAAACAACCGCGATATTCGGCAAATTCCACGAAAATCAGATTTTACTCACACGAAAAACGAGAATTTTTATAATTATGGGTTGGTTTCCTTATAAAGGAAAAATTTAGAAAAATATCTAAAACCAGATTACGTTTTGATTGACTCTATCGAAAAATGGACTAACAATAACAATTGATAGTTTGGACTTCCTAGAAAAAAAGTCCCCCGCCAAACAAAACAGTAGCGACGAAAACAATTCAAAAACGCACCTGCTTCAGGAGATCGGGATCGACGCGCGGGCTCAGCATCAGATGGCCGGGCAACTAAAAAAAGGGATATATTTTTTTAACGATAAAGAACCGGCTCGTTGAAGTCGAGGAACATGCGGCCGGCGCGTCGCTCCAGCCATTGGCGGTAGTCCGAATCGAAGAGCGGAATCTTGCCGATGATGCCCTCGAAGAAGTGGGCCACGCAGCGGTGCACGTAGATGTACTAAAGACAATATAAAAAGGCTTAGAAGTAATTGCTGACCTGCATCGGGGTTTCAATACAGAAGGCCCGCTGCGAGCGCACAAATTGGACGGCTTTCTGGATGGTGTGCTGAAAAAAGGTTATCGCAGAGTTGATAAAAGTGTAGCCAGGAGAAGCAGAGTGAGAGAGAGAGAGAGAGAGAGAGAGAAACGTACCTTGTAAGTGGGACCGCGGATCAGACTGGCAATCGCCGCCTCGATGGTGACCAGACATCCGGCACGGCTGATTCCGAGGCAATCGTGCACTGAAAATCAAAAGTTTTACCCTAGAGCAGTGACAACAAGTTCGGGTAAGAACGAATAAAATTCGGGTCTTTCGCGTTATCGAGGAGGGGAGGGGGTTTACTATGAACCATTTTTTCAATATACATAGCGGGTGTTTCTGACCTGTTTCTAACTATTCCTAAACGTAAAAACTTTACAAATTTTCGTTAAACACATATCGATTGCTTGACGAAAAATGACCCTTACTGAGCAAGATGTCGACTTTTTGTAGCGAAAGTATATTTCTAAATTTATACAAAAAAAAATGGTTTCACCCCCGATAATGCGAAAGAATCGCTATTTCGAATGGACGCATTGCGATCGCTAGGCGTCGGCGGTCTCGAAAAAACCCTCACCGATGACGGGCTTCGAGCTGTTGCGTGCGAGGTGCAGCAGACGGAGCGGAGCCTGAAAAAGTATTATCAGAAAGAAGTAAGCGTCACCGTACCTCCAAATTATTCGTATTGTTCATGTCGGCCTGCCAATGCTCGAGGCGCAGCGTCTGCCCGTTGTCGTGCACAACCTCAATGTGGGTCACCTAAAAGAGAAAATTGGCCGGGGATGATTTTTTGTTTCTGTGAAAACCCGGTACTGGACTGTTAGGGGGGGGGGGCAGCGGGCCAAACATTTTATTCGCCAACCCCGTACGTTGCCACAACTAAATATCCATTTTTCCGCATCTTAAAGTTTCTAGATATGAAAAGCCGATAAAAAATTTATGCGAATGCTCAAAAATTTTTGACGGTACTGCAAAGATGGATGAAAAATTCTTGCAGCTTTCTAGCATTCAAAAACTAATAAAAACACTATAAAACAAATTAGAGATTATAACAAGGATGGGAAAATAAAATTTAGTTCCGCCCGCCAAGAGTCCACGACCGAAAAACCTACACCCGACGAAAAAGTTACCCGAAACAGCGGGTCCCGCTCCTCATCGACGCCACAATGTCGCACGTTCATCTCGGTCAACCGCAGCAGGCCGTCTTGTTCCCTCAAATAATAATGTTTTTTTTTTAAATAACAAAAAGATTTCATACTTTGGCCAATAGCGGACACATCGCTCCGGCTGCTTACGGCTGATGAGCATGAAGATGTAGGGCACCTTCTCTTGCCACACCATCCGCCAGAAGTCTTCTAAAATCGGAACATACAGAGGGATTAAAAAAGCCCTCCGACGCCCTAGCCATTCGTCGGAGTATCAGATATTTATCACTTCGGTATCAAACAAAATCGCGCGGAAAAGCTAGTAGAAAGGTGCCGTCCCATTTTTTGCAATTCCGCTGATCTATGCTCAAATTTCGAGATTTGTTCAGTCGCGCTCGAGACCTGCTCAAGCAACTTGCTCGACTAGCTTTCAAAAACACTGCCATAAGATTCCGGAACGCGTAAGATGCTTCTATTCTTCCTGTGCTCTTTCGTCTGCTCTTGAAATTTTCATTCAAAGAAACTGTTTGGCTAGAAATGAAGCGAAAATGGAGTCCGTTTAGAAAAACTTCGTAAATTTAGCAAAAAAAGCAGGATTTTGAAAAAGGGACCGAAATCTCTCATCGCCTCGGCGAGCTCTCGATAGCTGGCTAGGACGTCAAATTTGACACCGCGGCGGAGCGTTCGGGGGTGCTTTCTCGGCTTGAAAACTGACCAACAGTCGTGTCCATCGGCGCCTGGGTGAGGATGAATTCGTTGAAGAGGGGCCCGCCGCGAACCTATAGAAAAATAGCATAAACATTTCGCCCGGTATAAATACCCAGTTAGCATGGATGAAGGACGTCTCGCCGTCGTCATCGGAGCGCAGCTGAACACGGCTATCGTCAATGCAGGAAACCTCTAAACAGAAAATCTGGCATGAGTGAAGGATTTACGTGGATTCCGGCATTTCGTCGGGTTGCGATCGGACCACAGATGGGTGAACGATTGGTGGTTGACTTGGCTGTCCAGGAATTCGAAACTAAAAAAGGAAAATAGACCGTAAAGCTATTGCCGATACCGTCGTTCCATACCGCCGGTGATGGTGCTGAGGAATTTCTGCTTCTTTGCCGGGCCGAACATGCGTTTCCCAAGGTAGATGTTGTTATAGTCTAAAACAGGGGTTTAAGAATCGAATGGCGAGATGAAAAACGTTTACCTAGCCTTTTACGGCGCCAATTTGGTACAGAAAGTACAAAAATTGTCACAAATTTCCAATTTCATAGTTTTACAAATGGGTTATAAGCTTTTTTAGTCATCAAAAGCTGCCGAAAACACCGAAACGCTCCAAAATATACAAATTTCATTTTGGGTCTAAAATGAATGAAATCGGCAAAAGTTGCCGTTTTTTAATTTTATAATTAGGTTAGGAGCTTTTTTAGCAATCAAAAGTTACTGAAAAGCGTCAAGGCAGGCTTACAATTAGGCTCGCTAAAAGGAAAAAAGGGAAGCAAACTGTTTTGCCACATCCCCGTAACAAGCTTGCCAATTTAGCTAAAAAGTAATAACTAAAGAAAAACCCGGAAACGGAGAAATCCCGTTCCGGACATACTATCAAGCATTTTGGCGATTGCACACTCATTACCCACATTCCCCGTGCACTCGCTGCTGGTCCTTGTCGTTGGAGATGGCGTGGATGAACGCGGCCAATCGCATCATCATCCCCTTCACGTGGATCTCGTCCTGCAGAAACGTGACGAGGCGTTCATTCTTCGGTAAGCTGGCCGCCGCCGGCTTTCGTACGGCCTTGACGTCGGGCTTGCCATGGTGGTCGCCGGTGTGCACGCTGCGCGGGATTTCCATGCTACTAAAAACGGAATAATTGACCAGGAAAATCAACCCAACAGGCTCCTCTTCCTGGGCGGCGGTTTGGGCGTACTGCCGTCGCCGAATTGATCGAAGAACTCGTAGTCGCTGTTGATGAAGGAGGGCATGTCGAACATTCTGAAAAAAAACTAAATTGGATCATATTTCGTAGATTTTCCTTTAAAATTTTCTTATATTTTAAAGCCCGGTTCTTGGGTATTCACAGGGACCAACAAATTACTTTTTTCGACCTCAGATTACCAAAATGTCAGCCTTTCTAACTATTTTTGCTTATAATAGCACTGAACCTGACTAAAAACCGTATAAAAACACGTTTGATTCGATTGCTAGACCTGCCACTCTGAATAATGATGGCTAGAGCCCATTTAAAAGATTATCGAAAAACCAGACTCAACTGGCAACTGCAAATCCCCAAAACTCAAAGCAACGCTTGTGGTAGCTAAAAATCACCGCGCAGAAAAAAACACAAAATAAAATCGTTTAGAAAATGCATTTAGAAAGAATAAACGTATTTCAAAAAGACCTTACAATCCCAAAAGAAACTTACGAAGCCCGACGCCCAATCTTCACCTCCGAGTCGCTGATGAAGCTGGCGATGGAGAGGGTGCGGGCGTGTGTGGTGCCCATGGTGCGGCGGTTCTAAAAAAATATGAAAGAATGGAGAGAAAACCAACAATTGTCCGCAGCTGCTCCTTATCAAGCTTCATCCCGTTCAACGCGTGGTACGACATTGCCCTGAAAATGAAAAATTATCCAAAGGTAATCAAGTTTCAAAGATCGCCAAAAGAATAGAAAGCAACAAAGAGCAATAATTTGCTGCACAGGATCGTAAAGAATCTTTAGGAAACGGGAATAAACCTCAAATAGGACGGGGGAAAGCCAGAAGCAATTTTTGGGCGCGAAAAAATGGCGGTTGAGCGTTTCTGAATGCTTTTGACAGAATTTTTCCACGCGCCGAACGACTATTAATATCCGCCCCTATCTAATTTGAGCAAGCAAATCGATAAAAATACGCCTATTCTAAACGTTTCCTATGGGCCATTCAGTATTGAAGATAGATTTCGAAGAAAAATAAAACAGAACAGAATTAGTGAGAGTTTCTGATACATATTCCCGGGTTTTCTTTCAAGCGAAAAGAATCAACATCCGCGCCTTCAGATTTTAGCAAAGAAATTGAAATACAAAGCAAATGGGCTTGCTAGCGCACGATGGGAGTTTGGAAAAGATTTTGACAGCATTATTCTTGACGCGAAACGAAATCGACGTCTGCCACGCCTAATTTGAGCAAAGAAATCGTGAAGAAAAGAGTGATCAGGACAGAATTTTCGCTATAAGAAGATCTATTACTCCTTATTCGAAAAATGTTTTATATGGGCCAGCGGGAGTTTCTGACCAGTTTTGCTCTAGCTTTCCCCCAAGTTAAACAAAATAAAAAGCAACACCTCAAATCCGCAAAAAAGTCTCGATGGCGTGAACTTTCGCTGCGGGACCCGGCGTCTGTAGTACCGCGTCGGAATTCTGATGGGGTTTTTTAGCTTTTTCGAAATTTCCACCAAGAGGGAAATTAAAAGCATAGAAACGAGCACATTCTTGTAGCGAGAAGTGGCAGTAGGGAATACAGCTAGCAATAGTTCGCTTTCGCCGCGCCCCCTGTTTTCTTTTTGCCACCTTAGGCGGTATTCCCAAAAAGATCCATGTTGGCTAGGTTGTGTTGTCTCATTTCAGTGATTTCCTCAATTTTCCCAGCCTTTTTTATTGAACAATTCCACAATTTTAATCATTGGTACAATCTGTTCCCCGACGCCACCGTAGATGACACTTGACCCTTCTCCAAGGCAAAAATTGTTGGTATAGAAAATGAGAGAAATCGATGAAAAACTATACCAGCGATTTTAAAGGGGTTGGCAAGGCAAAAATTACTGGTTTAGAAAATGAGAGAAATCGACGAAAAACTATACCAGCGATTTTAAAGGGATCATGAAGGCAAAAATTACTGATTTAGAAAATGAGAGAAATCGATGAAAAACTATACCAGCGATTTTAAAGGGCTCAAGAAGGCAAAAATTACTGGTTTAGAAAATGAGAGAAATCGATGAAAAACTATACCAGCGATTTTAAAGGGATCAAGAAGGCAAAAATTACTGGTTTAGAAAATGAGAGAAATCGATGAAAAACTATACCAGCGATTTTAAAGGGATCAAGAAGGCAAAAATTAATGGTTTAGAAAATGAGAGAAATCGATGAAAAACTATACCAGCGATTTTAAAGGGCTCAAGAAGGCAAAAATTGGTGGTATAGAAAATGAGAGAAATCGATGAAAAACTATACCAGCGATTTTAAAGGGATCATGAAGGCAAAAATTGGTGGTATAGAAAATGAGAGAAATCGATGAAAAACTATACCAGCGATTTTAAAGGGATCAAGAAGGCAAAAATTAATGGTTTAGAAAATGAGAGAAATCGATGAAAAACTATACCAGCGATTTTAAAGGGATCAAGAAGGCAAAAATTAATGGTTTAGAAAATGAGAGAAATCGATGAAAAACTATACCAGCGATTTTAAAGGGCTCAAGAAGGCAAAAATTGGTGGTATAGAAAATGAGAGAAATCGATGAAAAACTATACCAGCGATTTTAAAGGGATCATGAAGGCAAAAATTGGTGGTATAGAAAATGAGAGAAATCGATGAAAAACTGTACCAACGATTTTAAAGGGATCAAGAAGGCAAAAATTGGTGGTATAGAAAATGAGAGAAATCGATGAAAAACTATACCAGCTATTTTAAAGGGGTTGGCAAGGCAAAAATTACTGGTTTAGAAAATGAGAGAAATCGATGAAAAACTATACCAGCGATTTTAAAGGGCTCCTGAAGGCAAAAATTGTTGCTATAGAAAATGAGAGAAATCGATGAAAAACCAGCGCTTTTAAAAGTATTTTTAAGGGGGCAGGCAAGGCAAGCAATTCGATTCGACGGTTCGCATCCATATTTATTCGGGGCACAAAATCCACGGATAACAGCAGGCATTTTCTTAAGGTTTTCTGGATTCATGCTTTCCGGTCGGTTTCACACGTCCTCCATTACGTCCTTCTCGTGGATCTCCTCGGCGGTCAGCATCGGCAGCCGGTGTTTGCTGTAAAAAAAAAGTACTTTGATACCAGGAATCGCGGACAAATTCATTTGCCATTTTTTCCGCAAAGAATCTTTGCTAGCCTGTCCCCCGGTCTGTCCATTCCTCAAATAGTCTCTGCTAGTTGACCGCTCCCTCTGTTTCCTCAAACAATTTCAGCAAGTTTGCCCCCACCAATTCCACAAAGAACCTCTGCTAGCTTACCCGCTCTGTCCATTCCGCAGAGAATCTCTGCTTGCCTGTATCACACCACATTTCCTCAAAAATCTCAGCTTGCCTGCCCCCCCCCGCATCACCATTTCTCAAAAAATCTCTGCTAGCTTGCCCCTTCTGCCCTGAAAATCCTCAAGAATATCTGCTAGCCTGCCTCTCATCCAATTCCTCAAAAGTTTCTGTTAGCTTGCCCCCCCCAATTCCTCAAAGAATCTCTGCTCGCCCCTCTCCCCCTCACCTGGTCGGCACATTCTCATTGTCGATGCACGTCTTCTCCTGGTCCTTCTCCTTCTCTCGATGTCCTCCTGCTCCTCCTGCTCCAGCACCTCCCTCATCCTGCGTGCCCTTCTCCATCTTGAGGCTCCGGTCGGCGCCCTGTGTCTGAGCAACAGCCGTCTTCCCTGCTCCTCCTCCTCCAGCCGCCTTGTCCGTCTCCCTCTTGCGCGTCTTCTTCTGCCGGTCCGTGTGTTTCTCTTCGGCTCTCTCGGCTTTCTCCGCTCTCTCTCCCTTCTTCTCCTCATCCCTCGTGTCTCTTCTCTTTTTCTGAGTGTCCTCCTCCTCGTGCTCCTTCTTCTCGTCCCCATCCACCGCATCGTACTCGGGATCGCCTTCAGCCTGTTCCGTCTCGATGTACTCCTCCAGGATGCGCTCCTGAAAATCGTTTCATCGCGTCATTGGACGAATTTTTTTGGTTCTGGACTTTTAGCGGGGGGGGGGCTCCACGGCCCTATAAAAAACGTAACCATTTTTATAGCATTTTGCATAGTTTTTCGATATAAAAACGATATTAAAATTATAGCAATTTTTGCAAACATTTTGAGATCTTGGTAAAAAATCTATGTGAAATGACCAACAAGGTCAAAAATTTTTTAACATTTTTTTCGACTTTGGAGCCGCCAAAAACTACTAAAAACACTGTATAAACATACATTATATATTCAGCAGGTAGAATCGGTGGTAAAAGCAAGGAAAAGGGTTCCCCCTGCTAAACCCTCCCCCCCGCTAACAGTCCAGAACCAGGTTTGCATGGTAGTTTCAGCTGCTGTAATTGTTTTTCAGGGTCCCCGCCCACCGAGAATGCGATAGCCATAATTTTAGTAAAATTTCAAGTGGATAAACGATCAAAAAAATTAAAAAAAGTGATGGTCATGAATTTAGGCCGACATCGGCCATTTTCCGTCGAAAAATCGGTGCGTATCGTAACTTTTAATGACGATTTTTGACGTTTTACGCTTAGGAATAGTGAAAAAAGTTTAGAAACACTTCAGCCATATCTATATTTCAACAATTAGAACCTAAAAATTACAAACCGGCGCAGACGCTAGCTAAAAATTGGTTTGGAAATAAAAAAAAAAATATGGAAAAACGGGCTTCTTGGTTTTTTTACTCAACAAGGGTTCAGTTTGGGCACGAGCACCTTTTTCGTAGCCTTGATTTTGCGTAGTTTGTGGTTTCACCTGTTCCTCGAGCACATCGTGCCGCATTCCGCGCTTGGCCCTCGGCAACTTGGAGATGCTGGCCACATCGTCCTTGTCGGATGGTCCCGTACTCTTTGATGGGCCCGTCGACGGGCCGGCTTGCGTGTCCTTTTCCTTGTCCTTCTTCTGGTTCGCCTTCGTGATCGCCTGAAATTATTTGAATAAAAATATTAATAAAACATTTCTTAAAGGGTCCTTAAAACCCCAAAAACGGTTAGAGCGCAGTTTACCCCCCCCCAGCCCAGCTCGTCAGCCATACGTCCTATTAATGCGCCGAGTATCTCAAAATGTTTTCCGTGGTCGAAAACCTCTAACAAAAGTTGTTTACTTGCGCCAAAAAATGTTAAAAAAATTTTTATAACAATTATAAGACTGGCTTTTCTTTAGTTAATTTTTGCTGTTCCAAAGTGAGTTTTCGTATCTCGGCTCACTTTTGACGTACAGGGCTGTCAATGGTATCAAAATGTAGCTCTTGCTCTGGAGAATAAGCCTACAGTACGCTTGAGTCGAAATAAATAGCGGAAAACAAAAATATTTGAGTTTTTGCCTCCTGGTACATTGAAGCATAGCGGCTTAATCTTTTCAACTTTAAAATCTTGTAAAAAATTTTCTAACTATTTTTGCCGTAAGTAAACAACTGATTTCGAGGTTTTCGACCACGGCAAACATTTTGAGATACTCTGCGCATTAATAGGACGTGTGGCTGAGCAGCTGGGCTGGGCGGGGGGGTAAACTGCACTTCAGCCCCAAAAACTGGCGCTCACCTCGATCAGTCGGCTCTCGACATTCCGGCGGCCCTGGTGCTTGTTCTGTGAGTCGGGCTCGCTCTCGGGGGCCTGCTGTCGCGGGTCGAACACGGCCTCTTTTTCCTGAAACGGGAAGTATCATGTTTTTGGAAAAGCAAATGATTTGCCGGTTGAATGGGCTAAAGTCGGCTACCGATGACTTGAACTTCCACTAAACTTGCAAAAAACGCACCAAAAAAAGCTGAAAACCGGACTTTCGGGCTGTTTGGGCAAAAAGCAAACGATTTGCCGCCAGCAGGGGTCGAACCTGCGACCTTGGGCTTATTAGACCCACGCTCTAACCAACTGAGCTATGGCGGCGATGAGATGTGGAGGGTGGGGAAGGGCTTTGAGGGTCAGGGGTTGCCGGGTAAGGCTGCGGGTGGGGGCTGCCTGGTCAAAGCATGGCACGTAAGACCAAGCACCAGGTGAAGCCGAACAAGCCTAAGCTAAGCCCAGCGCCAAGGATAAGCAAAGCACGCTAAGCCGGGCAGAAGCCAAGCAAAGCATGCGTATAATTGAAGCCCTAAGCTAATCCGAAACTAAGCTTAGGCTAAGCCACCCACGATTTGATCGGCCAGCTCGCAACACTGCTGCACGTAGTTGGCTTCTTCTTCGCGCAGGCGGCGGACGCTAAAACGGGCTAGAGCGGCCGGAGAGCGAGCAGGGGTTATTTGTGGAGTTTCCGGAATACATTTGCTTTATGGAAATCACGTATTTAAAATTTCGGCAAGAGTCTAAACTCAAATATTTTCACTTTCCGCTATTTTTTTCTAGTCAAACGTACTCTCGTCGTATTCTACAGAACAAGAGCTACATTTTGGTACCCTTGCCAGTTCTGTACGTCCACGGAGGGCCGAGAAACGAAAAGTCACTTTAGACCAGGAAAAATTAATTAAAGAAAACCCAGACTTATAATTGTTATAAAAAATTTTCTAACAATTTTTGGTGTATGGAAACAACTTTTCTAAAGTAATTCGACCACGGCGAACATTTTGAGATACTCGGCGCATTAATAGGACGTATGGCTGAAAAGTTGTGGCTGCGGGGTGGGGGGGGGGGAGGGTTCCTAGACTTGAGCCCTTTTACGATCTAGATACGGCGCTTCATCACGCACGCGTTGCGATGGTTCCACGTGGTGACGACGAGGAGAATCGTGTAGAGGCACAGATACAGCACCGACGCCAGGTCGAACGTGTCGATACGCTTCCACGCGTCCGAAGCCCGGAACCACTGCAAACACCGTGGTGTTGATGCTTCATCCAAAATACCGAACCTCGCTTTCCACAATCGAGTCCTTGTCGTTACCCGTGTAGATGTCCATTTCAAAAAAATATCCGTAGGTAGAGAGACGAATACGTAGAAAATGACTCGATTTTCCAGTTCCGGTTTTGCGCATCATTACTTCCGGTTTTAATGCCGCGAAATGTAAATCGATTAACCAAAAGTTATTTCCAAAGGCGAAGGACGACGATTTGCCGGTAAGAGTTTACTTTACCCCCCCCACAGCCGAAGGGTCTCAAAGTTGTCGGTATTTTCGCTTATTGTGTCGGGATTTTTGCAACGCCATTCGATAGAGCGTCGAAAAATATACTAAGAGTTTTCATTTGAGCCTACAATAATGTAAAATAAAAAAGTTATAGTCAAAAACTTCCGGCTGGGGGGGGGGGGGGGGTAAAGTAGACCGTAGCCGAGTTGCGGTCGAGGCTACACCGACACAAGTTCTTTCGCATTATCAGACGCTGAATATCGGACGAATCAGAATAAATCTTAAAAAATGAAGCCCGCTTGTTTTCTCGCCTTTTCGCGGGCGTTCGAATGGTATAAAAATCATCCTGATCTGAGCTTCCCAAGGACCGCTAGAGGGGGGGGGGTGGGTTTTGGGACACCCTGTACTGTAGTATTCAGTGTTTTGTCCTTTGGCACTGACCGAAAATTCGCAACTAACCGCAACGATTTGGGGACTTTTATTCGGGTAGAACGCTGGGCGCGACGCGCCGCGCTCGAACATCAAGTGGTAATGCTTTTTCGGGAGCCGGGAAATTCATTCTTTTTTGATATTTGTGGGACGAGAGCCACTTGTTCCACACGTTTTCTCGGGCGCTTTTTGATTCCGCTGCTCCTTTCCTATATTTTGCGAGACCGCGGCGTTTCACCTTCACCCCCCCCCCATTTTTTTTTGAAAGCTAAAGTGGTGCTCTGGACGGAAAGTGTTTTATTCAATTTTTTAGGATTTTTAGAAAGGCGAAGAATGTCAAAAACAAAAAATTTGCGTCTTTTGTTTTAAATGGTTCTCGATTTTTTTAAACAAAATCTAAGAACACAAAAACCGAACTTTTTGTAGAAATCTATAAATTCGTAGTAACTTAAAAGGATCTATTTTAATACTGTTTTTTAATAAAAAAAAAGCTGTATTTCGACTAGAAAACGATCTAAAAACTTAACAAGAGTCGAAAATTTGGTCAGAGACGGCGATTTTGGTGGAAAAATCGGTTTTTGGTTGTATTTTTTTACATCAAAACTTGTAAAGTTTTTGGGTTTAGAATCTTAAAGACAATTTATATTTATGTTTTTAAATTTGGATCCTAGGAAAAACCTGGTCCCCCCGATAATGCGAAAGAACCTAAGAAAAATTGCGATAAAAATTCTGTAGAAATTACGTCGATGAAAGTTCCACGGTGCTATTTTTATTATTTAGAACGTTTGTTATAAAACTGAGAAATAGAAAAGGAAATATGTTTCTGTTTTCAAGGTATTTCAGGGTTTTTTGGATGATTTAATATCGTTTCTCGCCTGCCTTGTATTTCTATTCTTTGTTGCGGGCTCGATTTCGAAAGGACAATTGCTTTTTTCGGGGTCGATTGTGCTCCCCGGAGGGCATGTTTCGGCTTATAGGCTACCCTGTAAGCCGCTTTTCTAGGTACCAAGTAGACAGACAGACAGACAGACAAACTGGCAGAAAGTTTGTCGGTTTATTGGCCTTTATTTCAGTACTTTAGTTGCTTACCTAGAATACTGGGTGTCTCAAAAAAAAGCACCCCCCCTAGCGGTCCGTGGGAAGCTCAGATCAGGATGATTTTTATACCATTCGAACGCCCGCGAAAAGGCGAGAAAACAAGCGGGCTTCATTTTCTAAGATTTATTCTGATTCGTCCGATATTCAGCGGTTTTCTAAAAAACAGGTATCTTTTCAATAGGAATTTCGCAATTAGCATGCGGATCTCGCGTAAATCAGCCGTTTTCATGGATTTTGGAGGTAAAATTCGCCAATAAAAATACATAATAAAGAAAATGAACCCTCCATGTTTTCTCGCCTTTTCGGGAGCTTTCGATAGATACCTAAACGGCGTGAATCGGACACGTCTACGCGCCGCTAGAGGGGGGTGCTTTTTTTTTGGGACACCCTGTATGTGGTCAATAGAATAAATATGTATATGTTTCATTTTTAGTAAATAACAAATCATCTGGATTTTTGTTAATCGTCAAGTTTCATTTCCAGAACAATGTTTCCGTTTAAAATTGGATGGGTCCGGGCAGAAATTGCCAAATCAAGTATCGGTGGGCTCTTCCTCATTTACAAATTCAGCTCGCAATTCGCAATTACAACTTTACAAATTTTATAAAAAATACCAAAAAGAACGTTTTTTTCACGGTCTAAAAAATATAATTTTTTAGATAGTTTTCTAGGATAAATGTAGTTATATTATTTTATATTGAATCTCACTAATAACATATCCTACTGATAGATAACGAAGATACTGGGCATTTAGACCTAGAGGAAAAATTCGGTCCCTCCCCCCCCCCCGATAATGAAAAAGAACCGTCGTTTTGGCTTACAACTTCTAAATATCCAAAATACAGATACATGTTTCGTAAAGTTTTTCTCAATTTTTTAGTGAACGCTTCGAAAAAAAATAGTTTTCCAGTTTTGGAAAATAAATGTTTCGATTTTATAATTTTTTAAAGGCTAGATTTGGCCGATATTCCGCAGAGCCTGTCGCTGATGTTCAAAAAAGTACGAAAATGCCAAAAACGCAGAGGAAAATTAATTATGAAATTTTGGAATTCTGTAGAATTCATCAAAAAAGCAAAACCATTTTTTACTACTTTTTCATTCATTTTTGCACGCATCTCTAATGTCGATCTATCCGTGAAAATCCTGGAATGGCATTTTTTCAATGTCTTTTTTCTTGCGCATCCTTTCCTGTTGCTCCTCCTCCTCCTCCTGCTCCTCCTGATCTTGCTCCTCCTCCCGTCCATTCCAAGGTCATCCTCCATCCCTTTCGAGTGCCAAGAACCAGGCAGAGGAGGGGGGATTGTCCACTCAATAATATCTCTTTGTGGACACACAGACAGGCACATAGGTAAAATTTCGAATTTCCGCAGACCGAATAAACGCGAAATTTGCGCGCTCTTTTTAAAAAATTATCAAACATGTTTTTGAAAAAAACCAAAACAACCAAAAATTGCCTAGTTTCCGCATTCATTAGTTTAATATAGCTAGTTTTGCTTTCCTGTTAACGGGGGGTATTCCCTAATAATAGTTTTCTGTTGATGGCATACAATGCTTTTTATAGCGTTTTTAACAGTTTCTGATTGCTAAAAAAAATCATAAAAACCTTAGAAATTTTAGAAAAATGTATATGTTTTACTTTTTGGCCATTTGTAAACATGTAATTTTTTGAAAGTTGTCTGAATAACGTTTTTTATTTTGTATTTTTAAATCTCTACCTTGCAGCTCCGGGGATCTTCGAATAAAAATAGACAATTAGTACCAATATATTGCCTTTTGATATTAATCACCACGAATAATTTACATTCCGTTGCCCGCAGAAGTTAATTAACCCGGCTCCAATTTTCTTTATTTTTATCATTTTATGAAACATATTCTTCTGAAAAATTTCCAGGATTTCGAAAAATTTTTAAATTGCTGTAACTTTAATTCATGAAAAATTATTTTCGGCTTTCGCGATATTTCGCGTTTTTGGTTAAGCCAAGCAATTTAAATAAATATAAGTTTCAACAGATTACTTGCGATTTAATTCATTTTTTTAACGATCGATCAAACATATTTTTTCTCAAAATTTTGTGGGATTTCTAAAATAATTTTGAAAGTGTGCAACTTTATTTTTAAAAATAATTTTGGCTTACGCGATATGTTGAGTTTTTAGTTGACTATAGCAATTTAAAATAAATTAAAAAATTAAATTTCTTTTATGATTTTTGTAACTTTTTTTTGTGTACCTTCAATGTTTTTATTTCCTTTTCCTGGTCCGGACAGCTCCATTTTTCCGTTTCTTTCCGTCCCCCCCCCCCGCCCCCAAATAATTGCATCTCGATTTCCTTCTCCCCCGTTTCTATCTCGATCTCCTCACGTGTCCCTTTTCCCCCTTGCCGAGGATCTCGAAAAACAGTACTTTTGGCATACATCAATCAGTCAATAACGCGACTGTACAGAGTACACTCGCGTACTCGAGACTGTTTTGTGGTCATTCTCGTAGTCTTCTTCCGCGTCCGCTTACCCTTTCCGACTTTCCTATTTACACCTACTCTCCAAGGTTCTTTAAATATTTCGCTGGCTGTTTTCCCGGTACTGGACTGTTAGCGGGGGGAGGAAAGTAATTTTTATTTTTATTCCTAGTTTGATAAAAACCTTCTAATTTTTTTGGAATTTTGAAAATTTGGCTTTGCTGTCCATTTGTCATGCATTTTTTACCCAAAAAGTCCAAACCGTTTCGAAATTTTTTATAATTTTTGCTAAATTTTTTAAAAACCCTTGATATCGAAAAACTGTGTAAAGTCCATGAAAATGGTCTAAATTAAGATATGGCTGTATTTAGTTTCCCACCTGCTAACCTCTACCCCCCCCCCGCTAACAGTCCAGTACCGTAAAACATTTCATAACTTTCAAGGTGCTGTGGAAAATGAAGATGCTCCTAATATGTTTGAAACCAATCAATGATCAACCCATTTTTTCAAAAGACTGTTTCGGAAATATTCATGCATTCCTGATTATGAAAATCGATAATTCGGGTTTTCTTCGTCTGCAGGGTGTCCCAAAAAAAAAGTACCCCCCTAGCGGTCCGTGGGAAGCTTAGATCAGGATGATTTTTATATCATTCGAAAGCCCGCGAAAAGGCGAGAAAACAAGCGGGCTTCGTTTTCTAAGATTTATTCTTATTCGTCCGATATACAGCGTTTTTCTAAAAAAACAGGTAGTTTTTCAATAGGAATCTCGCAATTAGCATGCGGATCTCGCGTAAATCGGCCGTTTTCATGGCTTTTGGAGGTAAAGTTCGCGAATAAAAATACATAATAAAAAAA